ACAACTATTATTGCAAGATGTGGCTTAAGAAAATTATGGAAAGCCTAGTGAAAGCTTAAATAAACATTACATCATGTTGGTGGTACAAACTAAGAGAAGACTGCTCGTAATAAAAACTTGTAAGTACATAAAGTACATACATATATGGCATAATCAAATTAATCATTTTTAGTTTAGCGCACTGCAGTAATCTGATCAAACCTATTAAAAAGTTGATCATTCGTGAAGGACACTGTAAGAATTTTTTCATTTTAAAATAATGAAATTAAAAATTGGAAAAATTAAAGTTATGATGAAAACAACACTTTTGTCTGCAATCAAATATGAAAACGATTTTAATTATAAATTGTACAATTAGATCACTCTTAGTGTATCAATTGAAATAGTTTTTGGAGTGGTGCAGAGACAAAATCACTGTACGGAGTTGTTAAATAATTAGCAGAGACATAAGACAGATGGACAATGAGTTTAATTCGAAAAGTAATTGAGTAAATAAGTGATTGTGAATGTTAATTTGTTGTGGTCTCAATGAATTGGTAGAGTGGGTGGATTTGAGCAGCTTCACTAGTACTGTAATGGAGTAGTCGAAAAGCAACCAGATAAGTATAGTATACTGCTGGAATCAGAATGGCCTTAAAGCAAATAAATCGAGCAAACATTGTAATCACGAATGTTTGTTTTAATCTTGTTTACAATGCACAAGAGATGGCAATTTACGGCGGTTACGTATATTTCTGGCGAATCGCCCTGGTGAATGGTTCCGTCACTGCTTGTCAAAATGTAAAACTTCTCCTACTGTCATAGCAGTGCAAAATGGCAATCTCAAGGTAGTCAGGGTAATCTATTATTATTTTACTTATGTAATTTTTATAAAAATTTTATCTTTAAAGCTTGGAAAGTCTAAAAAAAATACTTTTTTGACCGTGGTTACATGTTCTCTATAGTAATTCACAAGTTATTTGCACGCAGTAGATTTAGTCCTTCATATTTATCATGTTTGCCAATAAGTCTGCATACTGTTAACCATTTATACACATGCATGGCTTTATAAACATTAGGTGCTGTAGAAATGCTCCTGAAAGTAGTCAGCTATGCTTTCCTTTACAGCAGTATATAAAGTGTTCAGTATTTCAGCAACGGTATTTTTATTGTATGCATCCATTAACTGCTCTAGCTTTGGTTTATTTGTTTTCATTGATGCTAAACAAAGAAATTACTCATGCTAGTGTTATTGATGCCTGTAATTCTCCAATTCGTGAATTCCTGATGAACGTATAAAATAAAGCTGTTAGAGAACTGGAAAGGTCACTTTCTATCTTTGATTTACTGACAAAAATTAATTAGTATAAGAATATTTGCTAAATAGTCAATTACGAACAAGAGCCACATCTTTTATTGAGAATTTTTTGTTTTTTTGAAGTTCTACTGTGATTTTATTTTCACGACCAAAGACATGAAGTTCAGCACAAAAAGGCTTCTGTTCTGAATGTTAATGAAAAGTGCAGAACCACAAAATATTTTGAAAAATACAGAACCACTCACTTCTTTTCAATTCATTCTTTTAGTTTATGTTCTTAACTATTCATGTGCTTGTAAGCTCAAATTTGTGATATTGCTCAGCCAATTGATATTTTAGTTACACGTAATATATATAAATTTGTATCACATACGCAGCATTAACTGAGTAAAAAAAGTTAATCATTCTCTTCCTTACTCCTCCAAATCTATAGAGTTAAAATACAGCAAGCTTTATTCCTGAACATTTATATTTCATTATATTGTCGATCTATTAGTATGGATCTAAAATTTTTCACCTCAGAGATTTCTTTTTCTGAAACTATCAGCTGTCACTAAAGAATATGTGAACGCTTATATTTATCTGTTTTTTCAGCTTGATAGTTCAAAGTTCAATTTTATTTTAGGCTCTTCGTCTTTCATCATTTAGAAATGAAAAAGATGAAGCTATCGAAGCAGCAGTTGAAAAAATTGCGCATACTTTTGTAAGTCAAAAGACGGCTTATATCCATTTTACAAGCTTTGTAGTTCTACAGACTTACTTGATGTTGAGATGCTTGTAACTTCTCATTTTTCCTCTTCAGATATTATTGCAGTGTTGACTGATAATGAAGTAGATGTGAATTCTACTGACATTCTGGAATGTTTATCAGTTTAATTAGAGAGAGGAAGAGAAGTGGTTTTTATGCTAAACGCGAGTACTTTTTTAGCTTTCCATTTCTTCATATTACTTCTAGTAAGTTCATTCATTTAAAGTTTAAGGTAATACTGCGATGCATTTGATCTTGTTAAATGTCAATCCTGGACTGAGTATTATTAAGCCATTATTTAAAAAAGTGCAGCTCTCCTTGCTCATAATAAGAAAAATATGACATATTTGAACTTGATCTCAATACAACTATCTCTAGCAATTGAGAGCTTAAATTTTAAAAAAATGCAATATTTTTCACGTCAGTAGCTTGATATGTTTCCTAAAGAATTCTTCATTACGAGTCTATCGATTTGCAGTTAATGACTTTCATGATGTGATTAGGGCTTAATTTTACGTTTTTTGAGTCACGTAGTTCCTCTAATTTCTGTGATGCATGGAACAAAAACGAAAAAAAAAGCAAAACCTGTTAAGCGTAATTTATGTTGAGGGAATGTGTTGAGTTTTGTAATTTCTGCAAAGTTGATTTGTAGAAAATTCTAATTTGTGCTCTTTCATAATTCAATAAACCATTCTTGGTGCGTTTGGAGTAAAGTATTTGGGAATGGTGTACTGCACTGAATTCTTTTTCATGTGAATAGGATATTTTTGGCTCCTCAGAAGTTTTGTACTGCTCTGTTTATTTCCGATGCAGAATTACGTTTTAGCCAGAGAAAATTATCTTAATATAGTGAAATAAATAAATGATAAAAGGATTATTGTTGATTAGTAATCTCCAAAGATTTTATTCATACTGTAAAACAAAAAATTTTGATGGGTTGTTATTGGTAAGAAAGTTCGGGAGATGTTTTTTTCAAGATTTGATCAACTTTAAATTCTTTGTCATAAGATTGCTTCTGCTTAATTTGATCAGTGATATATAAGAAGCTGAAATAGCTTCCCAATTATTTTTCATTACACTTCACAATTTCAAATGATTTAAAAATTTACTTCAACAGGTGTTTGATGCATGGGTTCGAACTCACCTTAATGCAAGATGTAAGTGTTCCAGGTAAAGAGACTTACTCTACTGCTATTTTTCTCTTTTAAATGATGAAAGCCTTTTTGCCAAGTTTCCAAAGATAATCTCAACGCATCAATCTCGCATGAAATGACACAATGCTCACGTCTGTAACTATTAAATAGGGTGATGTTCAAAGAAGGATTATGGGAAAATAGCTAATGCCAATAAATATAAAGTTCAGTCATAACCTTAACCAAGGATGCTGTCCTCGATTGAATCAGGATGAGATTTCTGACGGCTCTTAGTTATTGAACAATTCTTACTGTTGAAAGACATGCCGAACATTTTTGATGAAATTTATTCCCCTCCGAAAAATATGTCGATGAATTTATGCAGTAGAAATATTCCAAATCACGATCTTTACCATTTATCGGCGAATTAATTTTGCATCTTTCAATCAGATTAGTGCAAGATTTTAACTACACAAGGATATAAAAATGTTATATTTTTTGCTTTATTTTTCAGCAATCATCATTCTTAAAAGTATGATCTGAGTGCTTAGATTAACTGGTAAACATGCGTTTAGTTATTCTGGCCATTTCTAATTTCTCGAAATTCATGTAAGCCTTAAATTTTAAGTTAATATAAGTAGAAATTCTGCTTGGCTGATTATCTGCTGGAATAACAAAAAGATAACTAACAATAAATAATGTGAATTTATAGAAGGAAAAGAATCAGAGCGTAAATTCCGATCTACTAAACAATTGTTAAAACCAAAAGTGCAGATTCAAACGTAATTTGAATTACTCTCTGATAAATACTCTTCCAAAAATTTATCATTAATTCTATGAAGAGAGTATAAAAGTAAAGGAAAAATTGTGAAGCTACAAATTAACTGAAAAATACGAAGAATCTCTCAACAACTTGTTATTTTTGTTCGCTTGCTTAAAAGTTGTATTGTTGTCATTGATAATAATGATTACAAGTGTATTATGCTTAGAAGCAACGCGATCATGCGCATTTCCATATAAATGAATCATACATTACAACATACTCGATGAAAATTGTATGCACCTTAACAATGCTTACTTTAATTATGCATTGCAGAAAATGTTAAATAATCAACAGTACAAAATAAGTATTATCAAAACAAAGTATGTTCCATTTCTTTTGAACATTCCTTGATTATTAACAGATTTATTATATTCACCCGTAAAAATTGAAAGAACAAACTTAAGTAATCAAGAGAGCAAAACTGCTCATTGAATCTATTTCAAATCACATTTTTAGAGCTCATACCACTTAAAGGAAGTGTCAGTTGCGCAAGACCCGATACAGAACATTATACCATCACAGTGGTGGAAAAACATTGACTGTATGAAAACGAAAAATGAATAATAATGACAATAATTCGTACATGCCATGATTTTCATTGTCGTTTGCAAATAATATTAATGGCAGTGATAGTAATTATTGTTCTTGTGACTATGGAAATGTCAAAATAAATGAGAAAAAAACAACACCCGTACGCCCATCTCATAAACTATTCATTAAAAGCATAGATTTTTAGCAATTTTCACGTACATTTCCAAAAGTTATTCATCAACTGACAAGAGAAACCTTCATCAGGATAAAGTTTGAAAAAAAAAGAAATTGTCGCCACAAACTTCCATAGATAATGGTAAGATAAACAAAGACTCACAAAATAATTATTGAAATGCTTAAAACTTAATAAACTAAGTAAGTAAACAATTTTAGCTTGAATAATCCGTAACAATGGAAACAGCAAACCATTTTGGACTTACTTATTTTGTCATTTTTTGCCAACGAATTCTACCAGTACGGACCTTCAGTTGACAAATTTTTCCACGATGCAAATTTTGTCCAGTCATCAAGTTCATATCTGTATGCATCATTATCATTTTGTTTATCAGACATGTGCGTGTCTTTAAATTTGGCATGGGCTTCTTGACTTGTCAGTGCATAGTTTTGTCCACCATTTGAATCCCAAAACAAGCATGATTTCGAATTATCTAAAATTACAACTTAAATGCCAACTACAAGTGAAAATACTCGTAAATAAAAACTGGAAAATGGGAAGGAAAGAGTAGATGAAAAATGTAACCAGATTACGTGTTTCTATATCAAATATCAGTTTCACTCGAACTTCCGAAAAAATGTAAAAGTGCTATTAGTAATAGTTCCCTTGCTTTGGGGTTGTCATGCTTTCAAAAAAATTTTTTAAAACTTAATGTTTCTTGGAAATAATGAAACTTTTTTTTTTACCTAAAGAGCAACCAGCTTCAAAGCATATGCAAAACTCAATGCGTGCATTTGGATCGGTTCCATTAGTTGGTAGTTTGACGTCAAAGCTAAAGGTGTCATAAAATTTGGATGAAGATGGCTGATATCTGGCAGCATAATCTAGGAAACTTTTCCAACCATCTGATGTTAGTCGTATAAATACTTTCTTTTCAAATGTTATATTTTTTACCTGCAACATAAAGAATTGTAAAAGAATATCAATCAACTTCAGTCATTTTCATATAATAAACACTTAAAAAATTTCATCCTTTAAAAAATATGATTCCAAAGTAAAGAATCTGGTAAAATTGATGGAAAGTTTTGAGTGATGCGATACTTCAACTTTAAGGTACTGAGGTGACATTTAAAATCAAACATTTTTGCGTAGTAATAATTGGACAGATCTTGCAATTCCGAGTATAATGGTTTCTGGAAATTTAATCTTCTTGGTTCATATGATATTGAGTAACTCATTCATTTTGATATCACTTATAAAATAAACTAAATTGAGTCTTGACAATTAAAGATGCTTGAATTGAAAAGAAAAGAGAAACCTTGATAGTGCCAACCATACGACAAACTTCATTTTTCAAGACAACATTTTCAAGTGCAACACATCCTTTCTCCAAAGTTTCACGGAATTTGATATATTCACTAGCTGGTTGCTTGAACGATGCTACCCATAAAGCCGACGTATGATTCTCTTCATCTGCTTTTCCCATTAATCGGCGAATTACCTGAATTGATGAAAGAAGAGACTCCAAAAATAAAGTTTGTCGTATGGATGAAGGTTTAAAAATGAAGATTTTATAATTTGGAAAATTTGATAATGATGCAAAAGAAAGAAGCTATTATTTGTATGTAATTCATATGAAGATTGATGTTCAGAGCTGATTTTAACAAAAAATGCTATATAATGATATAATGATAAACCTAATGCATACACTAAATTTTCATCATTTTTTGATCAGTGTTTTAAGTTTTTTGTATATTCAAAATAAAATCATTGTTGCACCTCTGCCTCAATAATATGCTATGAATCTGTAAAAAGATTTTAACTACTACAACAAAAATTTTTTTAAACACTTCATGCGGAACGTACTGATGCACTTATCGTTGGTGGATAATCGGAAGGTTCAGTCATTATACGTACAGTTGTTAATTCTTTGCCACAATCATCAGCAAAACGCACACTCTTACAAGAACTTCTTGCAACATTTGCTTCATCACAAGTTCCCTCTTCAATAAATATGCATAATTGATCCACGTCATTAGCTATCTCTTTCTCGATATGATCGTTTTCCACTAAACTTTTATCCGTTTTTGCATTCGTCGATGAATCGGAAAATCAATCATTACCATAATTACACAACATTTTCAATGGTGATCAGCGAATTTCATGCACAGAATTTTAATATTTTATTCTTTCTCAATATTTCTAATTACGTTTCCAAAAGTTTCAAATACCGTTGTCTACATATGAAAATATAATGTTTCTGACCAGTGATTTCCACCAAATTTTCACGAGTAATAGGTGAAAATTGATGTTTTTTAAATTGTTCTATTAGTCCAGTTCTTGAAGTAATGAGACCTAAACGATTCAAAGCATCCGATTCACTTTGTGATCGAACCTGTAAATGCAATGCTGTAACGTTTTTTTGTTTCGGCAAAAATCCAAAATTTAGACTATTTATTTTTAGTTGCTGTGTATTGCTAAAACATAATATTTTGAAATGGCATAAATAATAGTTTAAAATAAGGAGTGCGTGGATTTCGGTTTTTTAGTCCAAAATAAAAAAAACGATATTATAAAATTCAGTCTGATTGCTTATAAACTTTTTTATTCAGAACAAAGATCGCAAGAAATTATCACATATTGAAGTTTACATGTTTTAGTTATAATTATATTCTAATTAAATGCGAAAAAATCTGCTTTTCAAAGTGTTTTGTGAGATTTATTTTCGAAATTTGATGATGGAAACTGATGAAATAAATTATTGATTACGAAGAGAAAAATAATTTGTCTACAAACTCTCAGAGAGGTAGATGTTGGTGGGCGTCCGTTAACAACTGGAAATGATGCCGCACGACGACACATTGTTGAGCAAAGTGTTGAAGATGATGGAGCAGAACCAACTAATCGCAGATTACCAAAAAATATATAAATTCAACACCAGCAGAAGATTATAAGGCAGTAAATTATTATATAAATTACATTTTTAAGTATCTCTTTACCATTTTTATACTTTTTTAGTATAACATTCAAATTTTCAGAATCTTTATTGTTTTTTCTTCATTTATTACAATGCTATATCAAAGCTAAAATTTATTAATTAAAAAAAGAACTCATAATTTATCTTCACTCAGTTGCATAAAGTTCCATTCATGATACACTTGGTAATCATAATATATCATCTATTGTAAAAATTGATTATAACTGATTTGGAATTTTGTGTATAAGTAATGATTAACGATCCCTATAAGTGAGATTATGTTTACAAAAAAAGACTGAAACTGTCCAAATGTTTAAAAAACTTGATCTACCGAACCATTCACTTTTTTTTAAAAAGCGGATAGTAATAAAGTACAAGACTAGTCAAAGTATAGTTTTCAAATACCCAAAATAAAATACAATTGTACATCTAATTAACAGCAAAGCATGTAATTCAAACAGATGTTTAGCTCAGAATGGAAGTTTTTTGCAATTTGCGATATTGAAATGGTAAACTTCAGAAATGTGCAGTGAAAAATTTACGTTTATTACCATATAAAATTTCCAATTCATATTTTTATTTTGGAAATATTGTCGCAAGATAAATTAATAACTGTGTTGAGTCATTATCATAAAAGTACAGAAGTTGCAACAGCTTCACTGAAGCTCAGAAGAAGTTATTTTTAATTTATTCAGACTACTGATGCAATGAAATTATAATTTTCCAAAGCCCTGTTTTAAGATGCAGTCTATTCGTTTATTAAAATGAAGTTGATAATCCTATGTGTGTTAGATACCTTCTTCATGACCATGAAAATGAAATTTATGGTAAATGAAAGTAAGTCTGATAAAAATTTGTACAGTTATGCTTTTTATTTTCATTTAATTTGAAAATTAAATTTATTATCATTTTTTGTTTAGCGATCATCCGTCCATAATTGATAATAAACAAAAACAAAAATTAACTTGCTAGTGTTTCATCACGAATACTATCAAGCTATTTGTTCAACCAATCTATTAAACAATTTTAGCATTAATTTCCGGATTTTTTTCTTGTTGATTTATATTCAACGAATGATTTAAAAGTTGAAAAAATCGAAATTCTTTTTCACAATAATTTGCTGGAATTGGCATCTAAGAACAAAATTTTACGGTTATAATTTTCCTTGGAAAATGTCCAAAACAAAAGATGGAATACTGGACTTTATTTACAACGACTTTTCTTGATAGATTTCAAAATCCAAATAGTGCCATTCATTTGAAGTTTGTAAGACAAGTAATCTTTAATTAATAAAATCTCTATCAATAAACTATGTATAAATGATTTTTTTGGATAAAAATAAATCTCTTGACTTTTACAACATTTACCTCGTAGCCATTCCTTGTATAAATCAGCTCTCACTGCGCACTCCATTTCGGCAGCTGCAAATATATTATATCAGATTTCTTTTCATGGTGTCATTTTTGCCACAATCTCGCGAACCTAATAGTTTTGAAATTGATGTAACATTTCAAACAAGAAAATACAAAAGCAAGAATAGCGAAATTTTTCAAAATATAAAATGTTATAAAATTTGCTTTTAAAAGAATTACAACAATCCGATCAAATAAATTCAGCTGATTTTAAATCACTTCAGTTCTTTAATGAAGATTTTGCTTGAAAAGGAAATCAATAAAAGTCAGAAGTAAAAATTTACGTAATATACTTTGTAATTTAGAAGTGATGAATGACTAGCCTGTGAATATTTTCATAAAGTTGTCAAAGAAAATGCACTAATTCAATCCAAAACTAAAGAAATGAGTGCTCAAGATGAAAATTGGTAATGCATAAATGAGTATAATGAAAATGACGTCATCCAAGGGTTAATAGATTAGTTAAATTTTTAAACAAAGTAACATATTAGAATTAATAATTATACGCTTGCTAAAAAAGTGAATGTACAACAAAACTTTCTGCGTACTGCCAGATAATTGTAATCGTTGAAAGGCGCCATCATGTTCTCAAGATAAAGTGGCTCACATCAGTCATTTATATTTCTTTTCCCTAAACATAAGAAGCATGAAGAAAAATAAACAAGAAAGTCAAAAGTCGATTAAGCAAATAAAGTTTGATTTGCTAAATGACGATTTTTTGAATATATTTCAATTCCCAAGTGTCATTAAATGCCGCAATAAAAAGTATTAAAACATAAGATGACAAAGAAAAAAACAGTAATATTAGTTTGGCATAAATTGGTAATAAATGAAAATTTGATTTAAAAAATGTTTATTTTTAGAAAAGTTTAAAAATTCTTCTTGTTTTAATTAGTAAAACAAGAAGAAAAAAAGCAAAACTTTCTTGTCGTAATATATTGCAGTTATGAAAATACTGAACAACAGTTTCAAAAATTTCTTTCCATCAACGAAAAAAATAAATCTATTCAATTTTTTATTTTTCATTTAGATTAACGCAATACCATAAAATAATCCATTCAGATTTCGCAGCTTTCTTGTCATAATTTTCAGTGTTTGATGACCAGTAAAGAAAAAGTTAAAATATCAAAAAATTAATTAACAAATCTGGACATCACCCATATTTTGAACATTTTTATAATAAAAATTACATTTAAAGGTAGACAGACACAAATTATTAGAGAAACGAATTTTGAGTACAGTCAAAAAGAAAGACTGGTGATTTTTTTATGTTTAGGTGAACTTTGTTCACTGGTTGCAAATTGAAATATACCACCATAATGCTTTGTATGAATCATCAATTGGTTTAAAATGCAAGCTTATCATTAGCAAAGTATTTCAAACAGTATTGTTTTTATGTACTCAGTATACAAAGGCTATCGATCGCAATAGCATATGCAAATTTTAAATTCATAAATAATATGCCATAATTAGAGACATTAACGCTAACTTACAACTATAAAAATTAGTAGTAATCACTGTTTATTTTTGATCTGGAAAAGAAAAAATAGTCTGAAAAAATAGTTCTCTTTGTATGAAGGAAAAATATTTTTCTTTATCTGAAGGCAATAGTATAATCCTATTTAATCATTTAAAGGATACTAATTGAAAACTACGACTTATAATCAAGATTATATAAAACCATTTAAATGAGCTAAGACATCCTGTTAGTAAAAATTTATTTACTCTGTTAGTAACAAACTTCAACAAAGTAAACAATAAATAATTATAAAATGCACACTGTGATTAACACGCGTTTTTAATAAAGCTGTGCTTTATGCTTGATGTCTGCTCAAAATACTGCTAAGCACAATAATATTTTAAAATCATGTATTAAACTAAATGGTTAGTTAATTAATGAAGATTTAAGACAAGAAATTTTCAATTACAAATTGCGAATATTCAACGCTTTTTTAAGAATTAAATATTCAAAAATGGGTTTCAAAAAATGGTGGTAACATATGTAATTAAATTTTGTGCAGTCATCTACCGTCGATTTTTATAAGTTTATAAAATTAATAAGCAAAAGGAATAACTAAAATAGAATGAATTCAAAAAGATTTTGTCAGGTAGTTCACCTAGGACTTCTGCGAACTTCTGCTAAGCTGATGAAGTTAGATGCTTTTCTTTCTCTAAGTTAAACCGGATGTAACTTTTAACGTTTTTCTTCATCTTCACCATTGATTGATGGTTCAGCTGAAGGATAAAAACAGTAAGAACAGCTGTTTTATCTAGTTGGAACTGATCACTCTGCACTGCAAAATTTCCCAACCTAACAAATGTATTAGAAAATCAGGAAAAGAATTATTTTTTATTAGATAAAATACTGCATACATATAAAAAACAATGCATAGAAGAAAATTTTCAAACTGAAGTAACAATTTCAATCAATTATCAATATGTGAAAATTAATTAAAAATTAAGATGACCTCGAAGTATGCACCATTTAGAGCAAGCACTCCATCTAACTGCCTCCATAATTATTTTTGCAGTAGGAATGACATTTTGATGGTGATAATTTGATACTTGATTTATGGTTAAATGTGACTATCAGTAAATATTCTGAACTGTCATAAAAAGTTTCTTGCTTGTTACCAAATATGTAGGAAGGAAAGTAAGAGATTTCCCACATTAAATAAAGTAAATTTTTGTGCTTCCAGAAAAAAATATATATATAAAATAATGAATTGATCGAAATAATTTACACTTACATTATGCAACTTTAAATCTGGATCATTGCAAACAAAATAATACAACTACTTTACATTGTAATATTAGCAAGTGGCTGGTAGTCTAAATTTTAGTGACTTGCCAAGAAACATTTTGAGATTAATATAACAAAAAAAGTAAAGAAAATTGAAGTGAATTGGTCTGCCATGGAAATAATTAGACTTTTCATAACATACACATTTTTCACTTTGATCATAAGAAAATGACAAGTCAACAGAAACAATGATTTCTTCGAAACTCAAGAGCTATAAATCATGTTGATGTAATGATGCTACTCTCTGTGCATCATTAAATCTTTCAAGTCAGTAGCACAAAAAAATTTACAGAAATGGATACTTTTGCTAAATATGTCACTGACTGCATAAATATTTATTTGCTGCAGATCATTACACTGAAATCCCGTGATTATCATTGTAATGTGAGAGTGTTTTATCTCATGCAAAGCAAAAATGAGTCTAAAAAATCATGATCTTATGTAAGTAGAATAATGATATTACTGAAAGACTACGTTTTAAAGCTCGCTTGCTGGAGAACAAAAATACACATTTTTACTTTGACTAAACCATGATCTTAAAATATTTATTCAAATTTTTAATTCCAGCTACCATGACATGTTTTATTTGACCTACTCCATGTTTCTTATCAAAAATAATAAAATAAAATTTTTCATCGTCAGCAGTAACTTCAAATTTTCATCTTCAGTCCACTATATTATTAGTACGTATAATAAATTCTTTACATTAACAAATTCATCCAAAGTCTATCTTAAAAATGAAGAATCGGTAACAACACGTTAACTGATAATGATGATGAAAAGTGGGGATTTCATGATAAATTGATGATGCATTTCCACTAAATGTTTTGCACAGCAATAGAAATAAAAGTAGAATCAAAGGTTCACAAGAAGAAAATAGAATGATAAATGAGCAAAAAATATTATCTCAAAAAATCTACAAAAACGCTTTCAAAAATTTAAATATCTTTTTCGTAACTAAAGAATCAAATCCCCAATCAAGAGTTCACATGAATGCATTTACAGATGATAACTTGAAAGTTTTTTTTTTTCTGGTGAAATTTTATTACGAAAGTATAATATCTTTCTAAAGACAAATCTTTGGTTTCTGACTCAATCCTTTTCTGCCTTGTCTTTTTGTAAAGTGATGTTCTGGAATACAATTATTTTCAACTTATTTGTTGCTGTTTTTAAGAAATAATACACGCCTAATTTGTGTTTTATAGAGGAAAGATCGCATTCAGCACCTACTTGATTTTTAAACAATAGATTTGATGTAAAATGCTTTTACAAAAGTCAAGAAAATATTAATAAGTTAATAATGAGTCTAATAAGTTTATAATAATGAGTCTAATAAGTTTATAATTATATTGTGTAAAAAAATCACTTCATCAATTTCCAACGAAATTAATTACCTGACTATAAAAATGCT